GGAAATCATCAAAGGATACTAGAATCACATCAAAAGGACTCAGGGGTCAACTTAGGAAGCTCTCACTGGCCAAAGACAGGATAATTTGAATTTCAATAAAAATATGAATGCCAATTGATTTGAACCCATCAAATATGTTTACTACTGTAAGTGCATCTTAATAGTTAAAATATAATTGCTCTTTTGAAGATTATAGGGAAATTAATTACCTAAAAATTGATGAACATAAAGAAATAAGTATTCTGACTTTCTTACATATGACATTTATAATTTGATAACCAACTAGTAAATGAAAGAAAGCGTCTTCTTATAAAGGTTCCTAGCTAATTCATGAAAAAAGAAAATAAGCACCATTTTGTAACCCTGATGAACTAATGTATCTAAGCTTTAAGCATCAGTGGCTGCTAAGAGTAAAAAACAGACATTATGTGCTCTTGTTAAGAAAACACACTACTGCATTTAGTCTTGTCAAAGATATGACAAATAAGTCTGTTCAAGCCTCTGAATCTAAGTATCAATTTTCAGGAAATACAGAAGACAGAAGAAAATGTCAAAATGCATCATGAGTATGAAATCAGCAAAATTCAGACTGTGGTAATCTTGACAGGTCAAACACCCCAAATTCTTCAACATGAAAATTATAAGAAGGAAAAATGGGATGGAAGGGAAGCATATCTATAAATCAAAAGATACTTGAAAATAGACGGTTAAGAATACATAGTGGTGGTTAGGTTGCTAAGTCATGTCTGACTCTTGATACCCCATGAACTGTAGCCTGCCAGGCTCCTCTGTCCATAGGATTGTACATATAAGTGATATCACATGATATTTGTCTTTCTCTGTCTGACTTATTTCACTTAGTAAGGTAACCTGACAGAAACAGAGCCACAAATGTAGAAAACACACTTAAGGTTACTGGGGGGGAAGGGTAAGGAGGGATAAATTAGGAGATTGGGTTGACACATATATACTACTGTATATGTATAAGAGATAACTAATAAGGATCTACTGTATAGCAGAGAACCCTATTTAAAACTTTGTAATAATCTATATGGGATAAGAATCTAAAAAAGAATGGATATATGATTCACTGCTGTACACCAGAAACTAGCAAAATGTTGTAAATCAACTCTATGCCAATAAAAAATTTCAAAAACTACATAGGATGTGCATACAACATGGTATCACCCCCTAATGGAACACCACACAGGTGTAACAAGGAATAAAGAAGATCTATGTGAACTAATGATATGGACAGATATGTCATGTATATGTGTGTATATGTGATATATATGATAGTGGTATGATATAGGAGAAGGCAATGGCACCCCACTCCAGTACTCTTGCCTGGAAAATCCCATGGACAGAGGAGCCTGGTGGGCTGCGGTCCATGGGGTCGCTAAGAGTCGGACATGACTGAGTGACGTCACTTTCACTTTTCACTTTCATGCATTGGAGAAGCAAATGGCAACCCACTCCAGTGTTCTTGCCTGGAGAATCCCAGGGGCGGGGGAGCCTGGTGGGCTGCCGTCTATGGGGTTGCACAGAGTCAGACACGACTGAAGTGACTTAGCAGCAGCAGCAGCATGGTAGTTATATAAGATGTTAACATTTGTGGAATCTTGGTAATTGGTATTTAGTAATTGTTTTATTTCTGTAACAATTTTGTAAGTCTGAAATGATTTCAAAATGGACAAAACATTGTAAATAAAATGTTAAAAAGAAAGTTTAAGATTAAAACACAATGTCTAAGGATACACACTTGTGTAATACAACCATACAAATGTAAGAAGGTGATTTCTACAAATGTCAAAATAGAGGCTACTTCTGAATTGAGGAAGGGGCTGTGATTGGAATGGGACAAAGGGAAAGGCTCCTGGGGTGGCTGGCAAAGTTCTATTCTTGGTTCCTGTGGTCTGATGGTTACAAGGGTGTTCCCCTTATCATAATTCACCAAGCCATACATTTTTTCTGTGTAACCTTCTGTATCTTCATTCTATTTTATGAAGAGAAACAAATGAAAAAACAGAAAAGAAAAATATGTTTTTGCTCTGACTTTCAAGATATGCTTTTATGAATATCAAAAACCTATTTTGGAATTCAAAAGCAACTATTTGACTCTTTGCTCTTACGCTAAACAACCTCTTTTAGTGATGTAAATACCATAACCACTACAATATGCTTTTAAATAAGAGACACAAGCTTATCACCTCTCCCATCACCATTTTACAGAGCTTGATAGCTCTTCTCTATCCTATTCTGGACAAGCTTAAGCAAAAGTGTCTTAGAGGTAAAAGAACAAGACTACAGTAAAATTGCCAAGAGGACTTGGCTACAGTAGAACACTTCAACATCCCTGTGAGACTTGATGAAATAAAAAACTGTAATTCTGCTTGTTGATTAAGCACCCTCTATTCTCCAGACATAGTGGGAACGGAGAAAAGAGAATGTGAAACTTTTGTGTTGAGGTACACACAATTGCATTGAGTGGTTTGCAAACTTTGTTTAAAATCAGAGTTACCTGGGTGGGGTTAAAATCTATAGAGAGAGATTCCAAAGCCCAGTCTCTAAAGACTGATTTAGTAGGTCTCTGAACACATGCATGCCCACACAAATGCCTGAATTTGTGATTTCAGATGTAGAGCAGTTTCAAAATCATCTGAAAGGCTCAGGTGCCGCTGTGGGAGTGGAGGCTGAAATAAAGTGGAGCTTGTTAGAAGTGAGGAAAGCAAGGACGTGAAACACACAGGCACTGGATGAGTCATACACAAGGACTTAGAGACTATGGAAGATGATAGCAGGACGCGCTGCTGCTAAGTCGCTTCAGTTGTGTCCGACTCTGTGCGACCCCACAGACGGCAGCCCACCAGGCTCCTCTGTCCCCGGATTCTCCAGGCAAGAACACTGGAATGGGTTGCCATTTCCTTCTCCTTAGCAGGACTTAGCCAGAGAAAAAGACTGTAAATCCGGTTCCAAGTTTTCCTTCTAAGAAAATGACTGAACAGGCAGCTGTGAGATAAGTGCAGGGGCAGAGGGTTTTAAGTAAGAAAGGGATCGACCTCAAAGAGGTTGGAGAAGAAATGAAGGAGAGATACTGGAGAAGTATTCTGAGGAAGAACACTGACCTTAACCTAACAGAGCTTTTAAGAGATCATCCTTGGTTGGCTCGATTCTGCCATGGGTTCGAAATTTTATGAAAAATGTCACAGCCAGAAAGCAAACAAAATCATATGGAGCTTGGTCTGCAATTGCTATCTGTCAGGAAGTCAAATGTAAAAACATACAGTTGTCTGCAATTCTTTCCTGGTTTACTTATATGGGGAAGTAATAGGGAATAGCAGTTAAGTTATTGAGCTGACACCTATTTATTCTTCACTAGGGCATTTGGACCCCCAAATCTGTAAAGTCACCAATGGCAAGTTGCATAATAAATTAGTGATGCATACTCTATTGTATTGTAACAATGGTACAAGTACCTACTTTAAGACAAAGCATGTGTATACACATACACAGAGGTGGATATAAATACTTCTAGATATAGATAGTACTAGCTATAGATAATTTACATTCAGTTCAGTTATAGATAGTCCATGGAATTCTCCAGGCCAGAATACTGGAGTGTGTAGCCTTTCCCTTATAGATAGATTATTTTTCACCTTACAAAAGAAAGTATCATATATTCTATTCAAATAGTTACCTTTTCTGTGGAGAGGTTTTATGGGAACGAGCAAAGATAAAATACTACAACTGAGGTGAACTGAGACACATTCATTCAAACAAGCTGGGTACATTGGGTAAGCCATTTACTTACCTGATTTTAGTTATCCTTGTGAACTGATTTTACATAAAAATTTCTTTGAAAGTTGTTAATTCTAATTCATTTGTGATTTTGCTTAAATTTAACTGTTTAAACATATATCTAGTATATGAAGCAAATTACCTATTACTTTATTCCTTTAATGTTACAATACTCTATATATTATGTACATATCTAATACATTATATACTCAAGGACATCCGAATGATTTTATGTCAATCATAGTGTAAACTTCTTCCTTGTTTCCAATCTTCCTGGTTACTTAGCTTGTTCCTCTATCTCCATCCATGCACCAACCCACAAATATTTAAAGTGCTAGCATATTAATAAAAGTGGGATATTTTCTGGGGGGGGGGGTGGCCTCAGTCCCACTCAATAGTGATTATCATTATGTCTTGATTGTTTTTTAGAGGAATGCTTCATTTAGACAATTTTCTAATATCGCAAGTCCTAATGAGATAATAGATATTTATATTTCCCACTTATTTCTTACATTACTAATTCTTATGGTAAGCTGTTTGCCTATTCTACGTGCCTTTGCCCACGTAGAATCTTGTTAACCTGTAATCATTCCAGTATGGGAATGTATAGTCACTGCACACACTTTCCTGAAGTGGGGGAAGGAAGTGCTATGGAATTCAAATTTTCCCATGGATTAAACAGTGCTCAAGAACCTAGCAACTGTGGAGGAAACCCAGTTTACTTTTGCTTTAATGTACCCAGAAGATTTCAAATCAATATTCAGCAGTAATGCTTTAATTGAAAATTAATATTGCCATAATCAGAAGTGAGGATCAGCATCCTGATGTTTGGGAAGAGTCTATTTGGTCGGGAAGGTATTACACAAGGGAGCACCAAAAAATGGAAGAGGGGAACACAAATCATGTCCTTGAGCAAGGACACGCAGTAAACACTTGAATTGGTGGTCAACTATAATTTGCTTCTAGAGCCAGCGCGCTGGCAACGCTACAGTTTGGATTTATAGCAGAGTACGCAAGTAACAATGACTTTGAAAATAAAGTATAAAAGAGCCAAGGAGAAAGTTCTTAAAGATCTACTGCTCATTGCAAGGACTTTCTCCTTCCTGTAAAAGCAGGAGGCACTCTTGTTGCTATTCCCAGCATGCCCCTCTCTGCTGATCTTCCTGAATAATTTCTCCTCTGGGAAACCAATGATATTTGAGTCTGGGTTATCAACAATACTTTATTTTTTGCCTGGGAATTTCAAACCAATATACTCCCAGCCTGTACAATGTAAACAGAAGGTTTCCATTTTGGTAAAAACAAAAAACAAAAAACTTTATTTGCTTCCCATGTCATAAAAAGTTCAACCACCTCTCCAAATTCCCCAGAATAAACACAAGAAAATAGCTCTCCCAGTAGGATCCTGGCACCCCTCTACTACCTTGAGGCCCTTCCACTTCCTCCATCTTCATGGAAGGAGTGTTCAGTTCAGATCCGGCTCCTCGGTGGAATAGAGGAAATTTAGGGGATAAAGAATTTCTGTAGGAATTGTCATCCGCACAAGTAAGTTCCTCCTTTCCCTTTTCACAAGGCGCGCTCACTGTCCCCCGTTTCCCTATGTGTCACCAGAGCCAAGAGAGGACCCCGTCACCGAGGCACGCAGACCACAGTCCCCGGCTTTCATCCCGTTGTCCGTGCCACGTGCAGAGCCGGAGCTCAGATGAGCCGCCTCAGCATCACCCTCCGTGCCCAGCGAGGCCAAAGGCTCCTTTCTTTGCTGAGGGGAAGGGCTCTTGTGGAAGCAGAGTTTGAAAAGCCCCAGCACTGTCACGGTCAGTATCACCAACACTACTACAGCCATGCTTACAAGTACGAAAACCACGGTGGAAGAATCGAAAGCCTGGGGGTTGTCCGAGGGAGACGTAGCATTAACCTTGGGAAAGGCTGTTCCTGAAGAGTTCACGTCCGCCTTTACCTCTGTTTGAGGGGACATTTGAAGGGTAGATAGCGTGCTCTGTGCTCCCCACCGAGGGATCTCGGGAAAAGATGCTGTTGCACTGCCTTGTCCAGGGGCATTGGGTATCTCTCCCGGCCTCTCCTGGACACTGGGTGACCACGTTCCCTTCGGCGCGAGGCTGGCTGCAGTGGCTGGCGGGTGCCAGGTGAGCACCTGGGTCCCTCCAGGGGTCAGCTGTCCTTCCCCATTGGTTACACAGGAGCGTCCGTCTTTGCCCAGCACGAAACCCGCAGCACACTCGCAAGAAAAGCCTCCCACGTCGTCTAGGCAGTCAGGGAGCTCAGCGCATTTGCCAGCCCGTAGGTACCTCCCGGGACAGGGGCAGAGCACGGCCCCGGAGGGTATCCCTTCCCAGCGCGCGCCGACCTCGTCCGCGGTGCAGGTGGCCGTGACGGAGAGCTGCCCAGGGCAGAGCGCACTCACCTCCGTCCCGGGGGGACTGAAGTCCAGTGTCGCGCTGTGCAGCTGGAAGGGCGCACGGTAGCTCAAGTTCGAAGCGGCCCCGGGGCGCGGTGCGGGGCACAAGCTCTGGAACTGGTACTTGCACAGATAGCCCTCGGCGCGCTGGTGGCATCGCATCTCCTTCCAGCCCGCAGGCTCGATTCCCCCAGTGGCCTGGAGTCCCGCACACTTCCGAGCGGTGCAAGAGCGCGCGGGCTCCTCCACCCACTGCAGCGTGTCGCTTTCCGACCCGCCGACGTCGGGGGACAACCAGGAGAATCCCCGCAAGGGCTCAGTCTCCAGGGTGCAGTCGGATCGCCGGCGCTCCAGCGCCACCCAGAAGAGAAGGTCTTTGGAGCCCCCTCCGGGCCCCGGGCCCGCCCGCAGGAGCGCGAGCACCGCGCGGAGCTCCGCGCCCCCGCGCACTGTGCTGAGCACCCCATGGCGCAGGGTGCAGGCCTCCTGGGCCTCCTGCCGCTTGAAGGTAGCGTGGTGCAGGCTGTAGCAGACCCCCGAAGCCAAGCAGCCCGCGCGGTCGGCGGTGGGGTGCTCGCCACGGCCCGGCTGGGGCCAGAACGCCTGCCAGAGGAAGCACAGGGCGATCGCCGGCCTCATCTTGCAGGGCCAGCGCCCACAGCTGCTCCCAGCTTGGGTCTGTACGGTCCGAGGGCGTGGGGCTGTCCCGGGAGCGCGGGCACCGCCTCCCACCGCCGGCTCCCCCCGCCTTCCCGCTCCCCAACCCGACTCCCGCCAGTCCCCTCGACCGCCAAGCTCCAGGGTCCCGGCGGCAAACCGCTTCCCTTAGGCCGCGACAGGAAACGTGTCCGGAGCTCTGCGAGGCCCCGGGGGCAGCCCTGATTTATTCTGGGGTCAGGAACACAGCTGGCTCCAGGGCACGGGGAACGCTGTCCGCCCGAAGGTCAAACACCCTGGTCAGGGCCGGAGAGATAGAAAAGAAAATCGCCCCTGGGAAGAAGCGTTTATCGTTTTCCCCCTGCGCTTAGGGAGTTTCGCAGCCTCAAAGCCCCAAACATTCTGGCGAACACTGGCAGGAAGAGCTGGAGAAGAGGAACTCGCTGAGCGCCCACGCCCGCCCATTGTGCTCCGTCCGGAGCCGCGGAGTTGGCCTCACGACAATTTCTAGACGGCTCCAGGCTCCCTGAGAACCGAGACTCGGGGCTGGTGGTGGGGTGGGGTGGGGTGGGGTGGGGGTGGGGGGACCCTGTGCGAAGTAGAAGCAGCTCCTCTCGCCACCAGAGGCAGCACTATGTACCCCGTCTCTCCTAGGCTCTGCTTCCCTGTGCTGTCGAAGCCGGTACCGGAGTGCGAATTGCGGTCAGAGGATGAGATGGTTGGACGGCATCACCGACTCCATGGACATGAGTTTGAGCAAACTCCGGGAGATAATGAAGGACAGGGAAGCCTGCCATGCTGCAGTCCATGGGGTCGCAAAGGGTCGGACACGACCGAGCGACTGAACTGAACTGAATTGCTGGTCAAAGAAGTTCCTTTCTGGTATCAGAAAAGGGAAAGCCTGTTTCTTCAGGCAAGGCTCGCCTTACAACTTTGTTTTTCGCTTCCATTTCTTTCTCTTTGAAATGGGCTTATTAGTTCATTCAGGAAAGGAAGTGTGTTTCTAGGCCTAAATGAAAAATAAGTCATTGATCTTAACTGTTATGTTAGGTTTCCTTGCCACTATATTGATTCATAACTTCTTCAAGCTTATAGGTTATATATAAATGATATCATGGCCTGTTTGAGAACAACTACCCCACATATGATTTTATCCTTGAACTGTTTTAATATCATTTTCTTCTATGAATAAGTGCCAATATTTGTAGCAGTAAGTTGTAAAAGTCCCCTCTAAGGGACACTAGAATTCAATATCCTTAAGAAATTAAAATATTTATTACATTAGCATGTGTATTGTATACTGTAAAAAATACCCTGCAGCTTAAAAAAGCTTAAAAAGAGATGGGTCCATTTCTTCAGAGTTCCAAGGGCTGTTTTGTTTTAATACAAACACTTTGACTCAGGTGGAAGCAGAGAGGAATTAAAGGTGAACAAAGAAAGTTAAACAGGGCATCCTCTGTGAAAGGATTTTTCTTGTTAGCAATTTAGACAAAATGCATCATTTTAGAAAATTATTGTCTGCCTTGGCTCATGGAGACCAAATAAGTTTCAATCAGAAGTACATAGTTTCAACTAAGTGCTCTTAACTATGCCTGATGCTTGTAAATATCTATGATCAGAATGAAAGTTCTGATTCCACAGGTAATGCACACCAGGCTCTTAAACTCACTGTTCCTGGACTGGACTGTCAGGTTAGTAAGGAGAGGTAGGAAGGAAACTCTCGGGACCACATTTGTGTGCTTCTACCTTACTTTAGACATGACCCAGCCATTGACCAACCACCACCACCTCACTTTCACCACTACTCTCACTCTTCCTTTTGGAAATTTCTACATACTATATCTTAACAAATGATAGTAAACACCAAGAATCATCATCACACTTATGGTGCTTTTGCTAACTGTGGAATTTTGCAGCAGGATTTCTCTCCTACCCTTGCTGTTTCCCCATTTAAAGGACATTCAATAGTCCATTTCAGATGCCCGAGAGTCACCTTAAACATAACTCTGCATTTAAATTAAGCGTGTTAAGGAAAATGGAAATCTAGAAATCTAACTGAATGGATTTTAAAAATACCTAATTACTTGGGCCAGCTCTCTATACCTTTGCAGACTAGTGACTTCGTGTTTCTAAATGTGTCTGTGCAGTACTGTATATTTTAACAAAATAAAACTTTCTACAAATCCAAGTAGTCAGTGGTAAGTTCTTAGATATTTTAAAAATCACTTGAGATGAGGTGAGGGTTCCAAAGTAAGAAAGACTAAATGATTGAAAAACTTACAGTAAATACATGATTTCCCTATGGGCATTCTGCCTAGAGAGGTGGACTATTAGAAGAGAAGATAGTGGCCATAATGACTGCCTATCACAGTCCTGGCCATGCCCGTGATGATGTGAGAAAAGAGAAAAACAAATTAGGTCAAAGTAAGACATACATCATTTTGTAATTAATTACTTTGTGTTGACATATGTTAAAGTTGGACTGTAAAGAAGACTGAGCGCCAGCAATTGATGCTTTTGAATTGTGTGCTGGAGAAGACTCTTGAGAGTCCCTTGGGCAGCAAGGAGATCAAACCAGTCAATCGTAAAGCAAATCAACCCTGAATATTCACTGGAAGGACAGATGATGAAGCTGAAGTTCCAATACTTTGGCCACCTGATGCAAAGAGCTGACTCACTGGAAATAACCTGATGCTGGGAAAGATTGAGGGCAGGAGGAGAAGGGGGCAATGGAAGATGAGATGGTTGGATGGCATCACCGACTCAATGGACATGAGTTTGAGCAAACTCTGGGAGACAGTGAGGGACAGGGAAGGCATGCTGCAACTCATGGGGTCACAAATGGGTGAACACGGCTTAGCAACTGAGCAACAGTTGACCTATATACCACTAACATATTTTGAAATGTACAATATACCTGAGAAAACTAAAAATGAATGGATGTTTTAATTTTTATTATTTTTAATTTATTATTGATTTTTATTAACAGCTCAATTGATTGAATATTCTAGTAATTTCAGGTTTAGTGCTCATGAATGCCATTGGAGGTTGCTGTTACTTATGTACCCATTTTTCAGATAAGAAAACTGAAATCCAGAGATTTCACATATGGATAGTTGGTTTGGGGTCAAGTGAGCAAGGATGAACTAAGAGCCTGTGGGGTTTTGTTTTTGTTTTTTTTTTAATGGAGGTAAAATTCACATAACATAAAATGAACCATTTTAAGGTGTACATATAAGGTGATTAATTAGTACATTCTCAATGTTACACAACCATCACTTCTATCAGTTCCAAAACATTTTGATCACCTCAAAAGTAAACATTAGGACTTACCTGGTGGTTCAGTGGTTAAGAATCCACCTGCAGATGACATGATCCTCTACATAGAAAACCCTAAAGACTCTACCAGAAAATTACTAGAGCTAATCAACAAATACAGTAAAGTTGCAGGATATAAAATTAACACACAGAAATCTCTTGCATTCCTATACACTAACAATGAGAAAACAGAAAGAGAAATTAAGGAAACAATACCATTCACCATTGCAACAAAAAGAATAAAATACTTAGGAGTATATCTACCTAAAGAAACAAAAGACCTATACATAGAAAACTATAAAACACTGATGAAAGAAATCAAAGAGGACACAAACAGATGGAGAAATATACCGTGTTCATGGATTGGAAGAATCAATATTGTCAAAATGGCTATACTACCCAAAGCAATCTATAGATTCAATGCAATCCCTATCAAACTACCAACGGTATTTTTCACAGAACTAGAACAAATAATTTCACAATTTGTATGGAAATACAAAAAACCTCGAATAGCCAAAGTAATCTTGAGAAAGAAGAATGGAACTGGAGGAATCAACCTGCCTGACTTCAGACTATACTACAAAGCCACAGTCATCAAGACAGTATGGTACTGGCACAAAGACAGAAATATAGATCAATGGAACAGAATAGAAAGCCCAGAGATAAATCCACGAACCTATGGTCACCTTATCTTCGACAAAGGAGGCAAGGATATACAATGGAAAAAAGACAACCTCTTTAACAAGTGGTGCTGGGAAAACTGGTCAACCACCTGTAAAAGAATGAAACTAGAACACTTTCTAACACCATACACAAAAATAAACTCAAAATGGATTAAAGATCTAAATGTAAGACCAGAAACTATAAAACTCCTAGAGGAGAACATAGGCAAAACACTCTCCGACATAAATCACAGCAGGATCCTCTATGACCCACATCCCAGAATTTTAGAAATAAAAGCAAAAATAAACAAATGGGACCTAATGAAACTTAAAAGCTTTTGCACAACAAAGGAAACTATAAGCAAGGTGAAAAGACAGCCCTCAGATTGGGAGAAAATAATAGCAAACGAAGCAACAGACAAAGGATTAATCTCAAAAATATACAAGCAACTCCTCCAGCTCAACTCCAGAAAAATAAATGACCCAATCAAAAAATGGGCCAAAGAACTAAACAGACATTTCTCCAAGGAAGACATACAGATGGCTAACAAACACATGAAAAGATGCTCAACATCACTCATTATCAGAGAAATGCAAATCAAAACCACAATGAGGTACCATTACACGCCAGTCAGGATGGCTGCTATCCAAAAGTCTACAAGCAATAAATGCTGGAGAGGGTGTGGAGAAAAGGGAACCCTCTTACACTGTTGGTGGGAATGCAAATTAGTACAGCCACTATGGAAAACAGTGTGGAGATTTCTTAAAAAGCTGGAAATAGAACTGCCATATGACCCAGCAATCCCACTTCTGGGCATACACACCAAGGAAACCAGATCTGAAAGAGACACGTGCACCCCAATGTTCATCGCAGCACTGTTTATAATAGCCAGGACATGGAAGCAACCTAGATGCCCATCAGCAGACGAATGGATGAGGAAGCTGTGGTACATATACACCATGGAATATTACTCAGCCATTAAAAAGAATTCATTTGAATCAGTTCT